TCCCAGTCTCCTCTCTGCAGGTGGAAAGTGTTTGGACAGGTTCAAGCCTCGGACTAATGAGAGGGCACAGTCCTCTCATTGCCATGTGCAAGTCCCAGCTTGGAGGTCAGAGCCCTCCCAGCACTATTATAGCCAACAGCTAGAGTTGTAAGCTTGAACCTATGGGCCAAACCTGTGGTCCCACGTGCCTGAGTGATGTGGGCTTGATAGCGTTCAGGTGCATGTAGTTGAGTAGGATCGAAACCCACGAGAGTGTTGTAAACATTTTGACAACGCCCTTACTTTGCCTTGTGGAATCTGCTATAAAATAAAGACACGGCTTGTAGTCCGTGGCGCTGTCGCTAGCTCTCCATCAGAGAGGACAGCGTCCCACCGAGACCCAGCTTTCTTCTCTTGTCTGTCTTTTCTTAACCCTTCACTGCCCCCTCTCAGGGTCACTGAACCTGGCTGAGCTGGCGTGGCACATAAGGCACCTGGGACTGAGTATGCCATGGCCGTGCCAGCTTGCCACAGGAAAGGATGCTTCTGGCTACGGCCTAACCCAAGGTTTTAGATTTCACTCCAGCTATGACCTTCACCTTTGCCCTTCAGCCATTCTCTAGGATGGACACACCTCCCTCAGCCACCTGCTAACATCGCCTCATGAACCAGGCCAAATGACCTCACCAAGGCACAGCTACCAAACACGACTTTGGCCCGGACAGGCTTTTACTTTGTTTTAGACAAATGTCTCCGTAGGCGTTGTCTTCCTCCCAAGCTGACTGCCGCAACACGGCCTGTGGTCCCCTCGAGGGGGAATCCGAGGGCATCTTCTTCAGTACCTTTCCCACAAGGAATTAGCAAAATGGGGCAAACTGACCCTTGGCCATGGGGGCCTTCACGTATGGACTTCCATCACCCTTGCCCTCTGGCCCCTGGGGAAACGGGCCCAGCACTGCTGCCCATGGGTGACGAGAAGGTGTCTACAGACAACAGAGATTTGGCTCCGCCCTCTCTCTTGCCTCTGAAGTGACTGGGAAACCCCAGAAAGAAGCTGAGAAAGTGAGGAGGGAACTTCTGGGCACAGGGGTCATTGGATGGTCCTGCTCAGGACACTGCACAGAACAACCTATCTACCTACACGCATAGAATACTGTGCAGCGGGTGCTGGGTGCAAAAGGGCAAGAGGAGGGGACAGGGCTTGGCACCGAATCAGTGCCCACTGGCATTCGGAAGGCCGAGCCTGGCCCACCCTGGGTCACAGAGCACAGCTCTACAGAGCTGAGGCAGGAGGCAGGCCTGAGGCTGGTAACGTGCACTTGCCCTGGGCTCAGGGCTTCCAAACAGAAAGAAAGGTAATCTGAGGTCTTGACCCCTCCCCTGAAATCCTTTTAACCCTTAGGGACAGGAGACAATACCAAGGTGACAGGCTAGGACTCAGGGCTGGAAGTCAGAAACAGTGGCGGGGCCCAGGCTCAGGGACCCTGTGTGGGCAGATGTATGCGTGCAAGGACGGTCACTGCCCAACACCTCAGACAAGGATAACAGGAGAGTCCAGGACCAGAGACCCAACACCATCGTAGGAAAACGGAATCCACATGAAAGGCCCTTGGGGGCGGGAGGAGGGGTGAAGAGGACATAACAAGGAGCGAGACTCCGTCGGCACAGATCCACGTGCTGACTTGGGCCGCTCTGTAACCTCTTTGGCCCATTCTGACACCACCCGGTAGGCAGGTCATAAACCCGTACGTGGGGTGGGCTGGAGGCAAAGAAGCTTCTGCACACACCACACAAGAGACCGTGCACAGACGCTGGGTGTGGCCTGCACAGACCTGTTCTCAAGGCCAAAGCCTTCTTCCCTCCTTTGTCTATTCACAAGAGTCAAGGATAAAAACTGCTTTCTCTTTGTTGACCTCAACGGCGAAAGCAATGCAGGCAGGGCCTCCGCCAGGTCACACAGCAGTCACGTTCTCACTGTCCACGCTGACAGGGGGAAGCGGGCGGCCGGAGTGCTGAACACCAGCCGATCATTCCTGTCTCACGTCCACGGTTCGCTTTGCAGAACTAGAAGCAGGTCCTGCTTCCTAGTGGAGCCGTTGTTCAAGTCAGTTGCTATTTCCTGAGCCTGTGCTGGGCAGCGACCGTGTAAGTAGTCATGGACAGCGCACATGACAGGCGCTCTGCCCTGGAGGACATCACAAGTGAACCCGGGGAGGATGACCGTGAACCCCTGTGGGACCAGCCTCTGGGCCAGTCTGCAGGGCAGGCAGCCGGGAGTCCGCGTTCTCTCTAGGATGTCTGCAGCCCGCCTCTTCCCGGGGCTTCCGAAAAGAGGGACATCATTTCAAACTTGAAATCACAGAGCCATCTGGCCAAGTCCTTCTCCAATCTTCTTCTGTTAGAAGTTGCAGAACCCGTCACCCAAGTGTACACCGAGTACAGAAAGATAATCAAGAAACCAATCGACATGATTACCTGGAGGGGACGGCGGGCACAGGGCAGAGGGGGCAGGCGGGCAGCAGGACTTTTTCTTACAACAGCTTGAGTTTTGAAGCAAATACGTTGATGATCTCTTCGGAAAAAGTAGGACCAGTTTTGAAGGTAGAAGCCCAGAATGTTCAGTGCCTGGAGTTGTTCAGAATGGAGTTGTGCTGGCAGAAGGCGGTGGGAGGGGGGTGAGCGGAGCCCCCACCACCTGCCCCGTCCTCACCCAAGGGCACTGGTGGGTCTGCCTTTTGCCCTCTGCCCGAGACACCATGGGCCTGGTCTGGACTTTTCTTTTCTAGCTGAGAAACCACAGCCCAGGGAGCAGGGCTCTGCCTCCGGGTCTCTCTTCCCATGAGATAGTCAAGAAGAGTCACACGCTCTCCGCCAAAGAAACCAATGCACCCGGCCCTTTTGAAAGATTTATTTTTCATTAAAAAATAAAAGTTATCTCAACAGGTCCGCATTGCAGCTTCCAGGGATGGCAACTTAACGGAGCGAGAAAAAAACCAGGCTGCTCAGTTCTCAAGTCACCTGACACTCTCATCAGGGGTTCCAAGGCACACGTGTCTTCAAACAAACAAACTTTATTCAGAAACAGTGAGAATAACGCAGAACTCCCTTCCCCGGACTCTTTCCAGCCCGCCCTCCTCAACCACCCCCCCCCTCCACAACAACCAAAAAACCTGAAATTCTCTTTTAAAAACTACAGAAATAAGTGCTGAGTCAGCAAGGGACCTGAGCGAGCTGCCCCAGCCCGCCGTATCTTTCTGCTTTGCTGACTGGATGCCCAGAGGCCCAGCAAGGAGAGAGCTGAGCCGCACCCCGGGACCGTGCCAGGTGGGGTGCTCACCCAGCGCCACAGCCTTCAGCGGGGGCAGGCAGTTCCAAGGCACTGTCTCCCTTTATGCAGGGCATCCTGTGGCTAAAGCATCCTTTCAGGAAGAGAGAGGCCTAAGGCACGTGTGAGTCTTCTCAAATGCTTGTGATGAAAATGCCAAATGCCAAGGAGACCTGTGGGAGGGAGGGAGGGAGAAAGGGAGGGAGGTAGATGGCTCTCTTCGCCCTCCCTTTACCAGGCTTTGGGAGTTTTGCTCTCCTATTCTCCTGCCTTCTCTCTTTCCCTTCTTCCCAGTGTCCCCTGCCCCTCAAAGAGTTTGATTTTAGCTTGACGGTGGCGGGGGTTCCGAAGAGGCTACTGGCAACTCCTGCGGCTGGCCTGGCAGCTCAGCCACCTCCAAGGGCACAGGGCAGGCTTGAGGTTCCTGGGTGTCACAGCGCTCCTCCTGTCCCTGCGAGGGCGTGGGGCACTCCTGGCGCTGCGCCTGGCTGTTCATCTTCTCTTCAGCTTCGATCTCTTCGGAGGTGGGGATGGAGTTCTTCTTGGGGCGGCCTTTGGGCTTGGTGGGCGCTTCCTGGCCACCTTTAAGGACCTGGAAGGGAGACAAGTGGGCATTAGATGCAAGAAAGAGCGCCTTCCCTCCACTTGACACTCAAAAGCATCTATGTCGTTCTCTCCCAGCAGTGACAGAGTTTGGCGAGAAGTTATCTTCAACCTGTCACCTCCAGGCTACAAAGACACCTTCATCCTTTACATGCTCGACGCGCTTTTAGTCAGTATCACATACTTTTTGGCATTAAATAAAAGGATCACAGACCTATAAAAAAATCCAACTTCATTAATGAGGAAAGAAATGAAAATTAAGATGTTAATGGGGTAGCAATGAAGTTGACAAGTAAAACAAAAAAAGACGATATTTGTAGCAAGCAGGAAAATACTCACACTCCAGGGTCAACATAGGTTGGGACAACCTTTCCAAAGGGCAGTCCGAGAGTTCAAATCAATCACAAGTTTTACAATGTGCACACTCTGACACGAAAATTCCATTTCTAATAATTTAGCCCGACAAAGTCATCAAAGACAAAAATTGACCTGCAAAACTATTCATGCCTGGCCTGGTGTGACTCAGTGGTTGAGCATCGGTCCATGAACAAAGAGGTCACCGGCAGTTCCCAGTCAGGGCACCTGCCTGGGTTTTGGGCTCGATCCTCAATAGGGGGCCGATTCTCTCTCATCACTGATGTTTCTATCGCTCTCTCTCCCTCTCCCTTCCTCTCTGAAATCTATAATATATATATTTATATATATATATATATGCTAGTAGTTGCTGATTTCCTGGGCAGCTAGTGAGAAGGACTAGCACAGATAATCAGGAGTGGGGTATATTTTTGTTACTTACACACCTACCTTACTCTTCTCTTCCCCATTTGAACAAAAGCTCTTTGAAGGTAAATCCTGCATCATTTCCTTGCTTTTCGCGCCCCAAGCATCTAATGTCTGCCTAACTCTCCATGCAGTCACTAAGTATTTGTTGACTTCCTGAAACAGCAGAGAGTACTCCCAGGTGCTGAATTATAAGAACGAATGTGTGGGGTGGGGGGATGGAGGGTTAATGGGGGGATAAGGACACATATGTAATACCTTAATAAAGAAATTTTTTAAAAAAGAATGAATGTAGTAACTTGATAAACAATAGTCCCTCTTTTAAAGAACAGCTTTATTGAGATATAATTCACATACCATCCATTTCTGGCGTACAATTTAGTGATTTTTAGTAGAGTCAAAAAATGTGCAACTATCACCAGAATCCAATTGTATAACATGTCCTCACCCCCAAAAGAAACCCCATGCCCATGAGCAGCCACTCTCCATTTCTCCCCATCTTCTGCCCCCCAACCCTAGGCAACCACTAATCTGTTTTCTGCCTCTACAAATGTGCCTATTCTGGACATTTCATATGAATGGCATCATATAATATGTCATCCTTTGTGACTGGCTTCTTTCTCTTAGCATAATGTTTTCAAGGTTCATCCATGTTATAGCACATACCAATATTTCATTCCTTTTACTGGCCAAATGATACCCATTGTATGGATATACCACATTCTGTTTACCCATTCATCAGTTAACGGACATTTGATGGACACTTGAGTTGTTTCCACCTTCTGGCTATTGTAAATAATGCCTCTGTGAATATGGATGTGCACATATCTGTTCAAGTCCCTGCTTTCATATCTTTTGGGTCTATACTCAGAAGTGAAATTGCTGGCTCACATGGTGACTCCATGTTTAACATTTTGAGGAACTTCCACGCTATTTTCCAAAGCAGCCGCACCATGTGACAGTCCAGTCAGCAGCATATGAGGATTCTATTTCTCTACGTCCTCACCAGCACTTGTTATTATGGTGGTTTATTTCCTATTAAAACCATCCCGGTGGGTGTGAAGCGGTTATCATTCTGTTTTGATTTGCAGTTCCTTGATGACGAATGACATTGAGCATCTTTCCAGGGGCCAATTGTCTATCTTCTTTGGAGAGATGTCTGTTCAAATCCTTTGCCCGTTTTTGAATTTTTATTATTGAGTCGTAAGAGTTCCTTATGTATTCTGGATACAAGCCTCTTACCAGGTACAAGATTTGTAAATATCTGCAGGTTGTCTTTTCCCTTCCTTGATGTCCTTCACAGCACAAAACATTTTAATTTTGCTGATGGCCAATTGCTTTTTTCTTTTGTTATTTGTGCTTTGGGTGTTATATCTAGGAAGATTTTGCCTAACCCAAGGTCATGAATATTTACTCATACTTTCTTCTAAGAGATTTATTGTTTTAGCCTACACATTTAGGTCTATGAGTCATCTTGAGTTCATTTCTGTGTGCGGTATGAGGAAAACCATACGTTCTCAACAAACACCACCTTTTAGCTGGGAATCCGCCCAGCCACGGTGCTTTCCGCCGAAACACACAGACTTGAAGGGCGCCTCTAACAAGGCGTAGATGTCGACAAAATCCACTTTTGGGGAGAAGACACCCCTGGTGTTGTTTTTCATGTCAGTGTCAGTATCTGATGTTGATTTCAGCGCAGCCTGTTGAAAGCGCCCGCATGTGCCAAGATGGAATTTACATGTTGCAAGCAGCTCCACTTGGTATGAAAGAGGTTACACAGAACGAAGGTGCCCCATGTAGCAATCCTGTTATAAAAGGGCAAGTCTAAGAAAGCCACCTAATTGGCAAAAGAAAGTCCAGCCCAGCAATTAGAGAGCACCACCCACGCAGCTTGGACTGACCCACCTGGCTGTTTTCGTACACACACACACACACACACACACACACACACACACGCCCCAAAACAATCACACCATTTTCTAAGTGGAATAAAACACTCCAGTGCCAGCAATAATTAGGAGATACCTACACTCTTGGCTGCTTTCCATACTCGACCTCTGGCCCTGCCTCCCAGCACACCTGACACGCCATTATCTCACCACCGCCCCACACCAGGAGCTGCGCGTTCTCATGCACCCCGTGGCCCTTCCCCCGGGACTCCTACTGCCCAATTATTCCTGGAGCCTCATTTAGTCTCCTTGGCCCTGAGTGGGCAGACAACCCATTGCACACAAGGTCCCATGTCGCTGGGAAAAACAACTAACACCATTTCCTTCTGGTAGCCATGCCCAGTGACAGATCCCTCTAGGCCAGGGATGGCGAACCTATGGCACGCATGTCAGAGGTGACACACGAACTCATTTTTTTGGTTGGTTTTTCTTTGTTAAGTGGCATTTAAATATATAAAATAAATATCAAAAATATAAGTCTTTGTTTTACTATGGTTGCAAAGATAAAAAAAATTTCTATATGTGACACAGCACCAGGGTTTTTCAAAATGCTGACACGCCAAGCTCAAAAGGTTCGCCATCACTGCCCTAGGCTCTAACATGAGATCAAATGTCCTATTGCTAAGGACGTCAGGACAAGGCCTCGCTTCCTGTCCAAGGTGCTTAGGTGGGGGGCAGGCAGTTGGACTATCGTAGTGGTCGGCAAACTCATTAGTCAACAGAGCCAAGTATCAACAGTACAATGATTGAAATTTCTTTTGAGAGCCAAATTTTTTAACTTAAACTATATAGGTAGGTACATTGTTATTAACTTAATTAGGGGACTCCTAAGGCTTAGGAAGAGCCACACTCAAGGGGCCAAAGAGCCGCATGTGGCTCGCGAGCCGCAGTTTGCCGACCACAGGACTACCTCCCCCATTATTTAGACAGGAACCTGAGCTGAGCAGGCAGAGGTGGTTCATCACCGTCAGAGAGCAAGCCGAGGGCAGGGCCAAGATTTGAACACAAAACCCCTGACCATTTGACTCGAACACCCTTCCCAGGATGTCACTGTGCTCAATGTGCGAGGGATACAGAAAATGTGCCGCTCTGATTTCTGACTTTCCAATATTTATCTGCAGTTAGCCAACCTCCCAGCAGAGCCCAGGCCACAGGCTCATTACCGGGAGAGCTCTGTGCTCCTTTTGCCTGCAGCTCTATGGGAAAGGGAGAGCCACGTAACTGACGGCTGTGTCCACAGAACTGGGAAGCAAGTTGGGATTCTCTAGCAGGAGTCTCTTCCCAGGACACGGCTCAGCGGGCTTTCTCCTCTTGGAGGGGGGATTTTCCACGACCTCAGGAGCCCTGACGCTAAGGAGCTGGCAGGGTGCAGCTGGTTGGCCTGTGGGGAAGGAGAAACCACAAACCTCCGGGGCTGCACTTAACCAGAGCCCCCAGAAGCTGGCTTCTCTCTTCTGGCCGCCCAAAGTCTGGATTCTCTGGAGATGTGAATGGCATGGACAGGTAAATAATTTTTTAAAAATAATAATAGCCTAGCCAGTGTGGCTCAGTGGTTGAGTGTCAACCTATGAACCAGGAGGCTTAATTCCTGGTCAGGGCACATGCCCGCCTTGTGGGCTTGAACCCCAGTGAGGGCCTTGCAGGAGGCAGCCGATCAATGATTCTCATCATTGATGTTTCTATCTCCCTCTCCCTCTCCCTTCGTCTCTGACATCAATAAAAATATATTTTTTAGCCCTAACCGGTTTGGCTCAGTGGATAGAGCGTCGGCCTGCGGACTGGAGGGTCCCAGGTTCGATTCCGGTCAAAGGCATGTACCTTGGTTGTGGGCACATCCCCAGTAGGGGGTGTGCAGGAGGCAGCTGATCAATGTTTCTTTCTCATTGATGTTTCTAACTCTCTATCCCTCTTCCTTCCTCTCTGTAAAAAAAATCAATAAAATATATATTTAAAAATATATATATTTTTTTTAAAAAAATAATAATGTCAACCAAAGAACTTGTATGCATATATGCATAACGCATGGACACTGATAAAGGTGGTGAAGGCCTGGGGTGGGGGTGGGGGGCGGGGGCAGGCTAGAAGAGGTCAATGGGGAAAAAGGGGGACATGTAATACTTTCAACAATAAAGATTTGAAAAATAATAAAATAAAAATAATAATAATGAGAAGAAGAGTAGCAGTTAATACTTCTTGGTCATGTTCTATGCGGCAGGCACTGTTCTAAGTTTTACCAGGATTAGCTCACCTTTGAAGGAACATATTAGGCTTTTACTGATGAGCAAACAGGTACACAGAGGTTAAGACACAGATGGCCACGGGTAGCAGTTTCACGGGATTGTTGATTATCTGCAGACTTACACTGCAAACGATGAGGATGCAACCCACCCACCTCTGTGATGGGGAGAGGAAGGCTGTATCCACGGGCCCCCTCCCGGAGCACACTTCTGCTTGCATCGTATTTCAGAGCCAAAAAAGACCACTGATGATGACGCTCTTGCGCCTGTTGCAAAACCCTGTGAGTCCTACTGGAACGAAAGCCAGACAGAGACGGAATAGAGTGTCCCATCTCGGGTGCAAGATTGCGTTTACCCAACCCGCTACAGGTTACCAATGCTGACCGGTAAAAACTCGTCAGAGATGCAATCTTGGTTTTGGCAGCACTGCCCTTGGCAGCCGTGCGAATAACTCTGAGAATCAAGTGCTAATCTTTTTCCAGTTCCAATTAGGTTACTAGCCTTGAGACATCTTTATTACCCAATTAGCTTTTTCTTTCCTTCCCAGTACCTGAAGAGATAGCCTTGAAAGCGTTTCACCAGGAAAATGCATGAAGCAATCAGGAGCCCAACAATGCCTCACTGTTCTGGGGGAGTCAGAGTTCAGACCCGCGACTGAACAATCGCTCTCACGCTTGAGCCCCAGCCGTTCCGAAGTCCTTCGAGTGCCCCCAATACTCCTGTCCCTTTCTTCTGCCTGTGACACCCTTCCCACCTTCACTTGGCACCTTTCTATCCATCCACTAGCACCAACTTAGATGGCGCCTCTTCCATGCCCCCCCTTCCCTATACACCTCTGAATCCTGTAATTCCTTCTGCTGTTGCCCTGATCATTGTGTATAATTACTAGTTTACAGGTCTGTGTCCCCGACTCGACTGAATACCTTTTCTAATTTTATTTTTAAAAAAATTTTGTTAATTCTCATCTGAGGATATTTTTCCATTGATTTTTTTTAGAGAGTGGAAGGCAGGGGGAGAGACAGAGAGAGAAACATCAATGTAAGAGAAACACATCAATTGGTTGCCTCCCGCATGCACCCCAACCAGGGCCAGGGAGAGGAAGGTTGTATCTAGGGGTCCCCTCCCAGAGCACAATTTGAACCTGCAACCTAGGTACATGCCCTTGACCGGAATCGAACCTGGGACCCTTCAGTCCGCAGGTTGACGCTCTATCCACTGCGCCAAACCGGCCAGGGCTCTGATTTTATCTCTTAGTGGGTTGGGTGCATGTCTTATCTTGGCACCTCTGTTGCCTGTGCTCAGTGAATGGCTGCTGAAGTTAACTGAAAACTCGGCACTTGTTTCCTCAAGGGACCTGAATATGGCTGGCCCGTGGAATCCTCTCTGAGGTTAAGTCTGCTAAGTGCCTTCCATCTTGTTCTATACGGCGCTGATAACCAGCAGGAACCAGCTGGTGAAAAACAAGTGACGTCAGAGGCCAGGGCACACGCGTGGTCCCACGGGCACTGGGCGGTGCTGGCAGAGATGGCAGGCTGCCGGTTCCCTAATCATCTGACTCATGAAAGATTGCTGATAACCAATTTAAACAATGCCTCTGCCACTCCGGGGACATTGATTTCCATGCCGGTGATTGCCGGGGAAGGAGGTGGGCGGTGGAACTTGCACAGAAAGCAGCGAAGGGACTTGCCCAAAATCTGCCAGGGAGGGGCACGCCTGGGAACAGAGTTTCTGACTCCCAAATCTGATTCGCCCAGAGATAACCCCCCAAAGGTTCCCGCCATCTGTCTCAGGGGTGCCTTAGCATTCTAAAAATTTTAGAGTAACTACCTATTCAACTGAATCCCATTCATCCTTCAATTTCAACTTATCCCTGCGGCTGTCCCCAACACCTCTCTTCTGAACTCTTATGGCGTATTACACCTTTAAATAAACAACCAGGACTTCATGAAAATGTCATCCCCAATGTCATCCTGGACCTTGATTCTCCAACGAGATCATAAATTCCACGAAGGGTTATATTTTATTTCAGTACTTCCTCCAGTGCCTAGGACAAGGCATGGTTCACGAGAGACGCTAACTGCATGGGTATTGAATCATGCGATCTATGTTTGTACATGCACCTGGCATCGCCACCTCACTTTGAGAGAGCACTTCATGAGCCAAGCCACTGCCAGCTGAAAATCCTTCCATCCCTTGCAGGGTCAGGACCCCCCAGGGGAAATGATGAACTTCGCCCAGGAGTTCCTTTCAGGATATATAATAAATGCTACCTTGTTGGCCTTTTCCTACTTTTTCCATGAATATTCATTTGTAGTTTATTTATTTATTTTTCTCATTGTTAGCAGGCATGGCAAGAGCTACACTTTTAGGAAAAAGTAATATTCGACAAAAAAATACGAAATTGAGAAAATCTGACTATCTATCACCTATTGAAAAATATCGATTGAAAACTAGGTTGAGGGATGGGTGGGAAATCCTTACTTATTTGGTTAAAGGTGAAAGACTTCATATTCCCATCCTTAAGACAACCAGGAACTATGGCTGGTGACCAGATGGGTTAGAACAGTGGTCGGCAAACTCATTAGTCAACAGAGCCAAATATCAACAGGACAACGACTGAAATTTCTTATGTGAGCCAAATTTTTTTAACTTAAACTATATAGGTAGGTACGTTGTTATTAACTTAATTAGGGTACTCCTAAGGCTTAGGAAGAGCCACACTGAAGGGGCCAAAGAGCCGCATGTGGCTCTCGAGCCGCAGTTTGCCGACCACGGGGTTAGGAGGTTAGAACATCATCCCGGCAGATCTGGTCCACATGCGAAGAGAAAGGGCCAGGTCAGAGGCCCTGCCGTACCTGGTCTCTGAAGACTAGAATAGAGCTTCTTCCCACCCTCATCCGGCCCTGCCCCTTTCTTCTGGGCTTTGACCTTGTCCCTTGTGGTTTACGAAACTGGAAATGAAACACTCAACTACTTTGAAAAGCTTTGATTTAACATGCCTCTAAAAAGAAGAGGGGCAAACTACTCTGAAAATTGAGTTCCTCAAATGCAGATGTTTATTCTTTCTTTTAGTGATATCTACTCTAATACGTTCTTTTAAAACACAAAGATGGGCCTGGTCGGTGTGGCTCAGGGGTTGAGCGGTGGCCCATGAACCAGGAGGTCACAGTTCGATTCCCAGTCAGGGCACATGCCCGGGTTGTGGACTTGATCCCCAGTGTGGGGCATGCAAGAGGCAGCTGATCCATAATCCTCTCTCATCATTGATGTTTCTATTTCTCTCCCTTTTCTCTGAAATCAATACAAATATATTCTAAAAAATAAATAAAAAACAAAGATGGACGGACTCATTAGCCAGGCACTAGATCAGTATTAGGGAATGGCAGTCATTCTACCCCCTGCATCAGAGGAACCTGAGTGCTTGTTAGCACACATTCCCACCCCGTCCTGTGACAGGGAATCAGAGTCCTGGGAGGGGCCTGGGTTCTGCATTGTCACCTGCTACCCAGGTCACTCTGGTGCCCACTGAAGTTTGAGAATCACTGCATTAGAGCACACACAGCTATGAGAACAGATGTGCCCTAAATATCATTATAAACAAAGAGTCCTGACATCTATTCTTGGCTGCTGGTGGGAGGCGGAAGGAAGTTCTTTGAAAAGGCTAGCAGGTGGGGTTAAATCTAGCAACTGAGAGGCTTGTGGGCTTTCACTTTCTGTTATTTCTAAGGAAACTAGAAAAGAATATCCTTCTAATCAGGAAATCCAGGTCAGGAGGAATGGCTTACCCTTCTGCTCACACAGCCTGCCTCCCAGCCGGCACCATAAAAGGCCTTCCAATCCCATGAGCCCAAACCACATGGTCCTTCCTGCCTTCTTCCCAGCCCTGCGGGAAGGATTCATTCTGCCATGATGGACTCGTGGTTGGACTCACTCTCTTCTTTCTTACCATTTTCTTCCATTTCATCCTGCGATTCTGATACCAGGTCTTCACCTGCAGTTGAGTGAGTCCCAGAGACTGGGCCAAGTCCAACCTAGAAGGCAAAAGGCACACAAAAAAAAAAAGATGAGGAAGGAGAGAAAGGGCAGTAGAGGTGGGGTCCTGGTAACTGGTTCCAGGTACTGCTGTCGAAATTCAGACCTTCCCCCTTAAACCAATTCTTCCTCAAAGAGCTTTGCTTTCCTTCCAAAAATCCGACGTTTGAAACTCTGGGAAGCTAGAGACGGATGTCCGTGCCCAAGGACTGTCTACATGGATCTGAAAAGAATTTCTGAGTCTTCATGGCAAAGTCCTTTTCCTGCAAAGCCTGACAGTCTTTACTCTGACTCTATACAAAATGAAGATTCTGACCCAGAATCCAAAGGCAAAGTCGTATTTTCCTAATTGGAATCCCACTCATCATTCCAGATCCAGCTCAAGTCCCCCCCTCCTGCAGGTGAGCCTCCTGGATACCCCCAGCTCATGCGGGATGTCTCCCCTACACCCTCCCCTGGGTCAGCCACCACCCAGGTGGCTCCAGGTTCTCAGTTGGTCTCTTATTGTTTCACATCAGTTATTGCTGCCTCCCTAATTCAACTGCAAGAGCGGAATATGTCTTCTGCTTCTTTCATAACCACAAAAGTGCCTATCACGTTCTAAATCCAGAACTGTGGCTCCAGCACACTTTCTGATAGGCTCACTGTAGCTTCCCTAAATTGTCATAATGCCAGATTCCCCCCCAAAAAACACACATTAAATCTGCAGCCCCTCCTGCTTCCCATTCTACTGCTAATCGTGGTTCTGCATTTCTCCGTAGCCTTCTGAAAAGTCTTGAATGTCAAAACCATTCCTGGAAAATGTGCAGTTGGAGCCATTTCCAGCAACACAGCAACCGTTGCCTGGGTACCACAGCGCCCAGGCTATGTGCTAAGCCCCTGACATATGCTATCTCACTTATTCCTTTCACCACACTGTGAAATAGGTATAATTATTCCCATTTTACAGACAGAGATCTGAGGCTCAGAATCTCTTTGAAACCATGGCCAAACCCTGACAGCTGCCTGTTTTTGTGAATAAAGTTTTACTGGAACACAGACACGCTCATTCGTTCATATATTGTCTGTGGCTGCTTTCATGCTACAACCTCTGAGTTGAGTAATTGTGAAAGAGACCACAGGCCCATAAAGCCTAAATATTTACTCCCTGGCCTGTACAGAAAATCTCTGCTGACTGCTGGTAGATGATCCTATAGTAAGAGGTGGAGCCAGGATTCCAATTTATTTACATCTGACTTGTACGCCTCCTCCTGTATTGGGGCTCACCTCCACCACCATTTTTTCATGCAAGTTAGACCTACAAGAAGTTCTATTTTGTTTTGTTTTGTTAATCCTCACCGGAGGATATCCCCCCTCACTCCCCATTGATTTTTAGAGAGTAGAAGGGAGTGGGGGAGACAGACAGAGAAACATCAATGTGAGAGACACACCAACTGGTTGCCTCCTGCACACGCCCTGACCTGGGACCAGGGATCGAGCCTGCAACCAAGGCATGTGCCCTTGACCGGAATGGAACCTGAGACCCTTCAGTCTGCAGGCCAATGCTCCAACCACTGAGCCAAACTGGCCAGGGCCAAAGGGAAGCTCTTGCTCAGCTTTGGTGAGGGAAGTGCAGGGACGCTCCACCACCAGGAGGAGCAGACAGCGGAGGGGAGCATATGAATGAGGCTGCACTCCTCAGTCCTCAAGCCTGCAACTGTGGACCTGTGTTGCTGAGAACCCCAGGCCTACCTGGGCAACAGTGGGAGGAACCACCTTGGGAGCCTACATTCGCTGCCCTGTGGTGAACTGGGTCGGTGAGCCAGTGTGGGCCTCTAAGACAGCACCCGGGGCCGAGCACCCTTGAGACAGCATAAGCAGAGACCACCGCTTTGGAAGACTGGGTTTCTGAGGAGTGTGATTTGTAGAGCTAAGATCTATGATCTCACACAGCCATAGCCTGAGCCAGGGGGAGTCTCACGTGTTAGTTCCCAGCTGCACCTTTCTCTACCTGAGGGGTAACGAGCAAAATCTCACCCTCAGGAAGAGCAGTAGGTGCAGGCAAGGAAGGTTCCAGGTGCCAACTCTTGGCACGCCCAGGTGAGGCTGCCCAGCCCCCTGCTTTGACTAGAGTACACAATTTAAATCTCCAATAATAGCCTGGCATGTGAGTTCAGTGGTTAGAGCATCAGCCTGTGCACCAGAGGGCATGTACCTGGGTTGCAGGCTTGATCCCTGGCCTTGGTCAGGGATGTGTCTCTCTCACATTGATCTCTCTCTCTTTCTCTCTCTCCCTCCCTGCCAGGCCTCCCTTCTTCCCTCCTTCTCTCCCTCCCTTAATCCTCTCTGAAAATCACTGGGAAAGATATCCTCAGGTGAGAATTAACAAACAAAAAATAAGTAAAATAAAATAAGTAAATCTCCAACAATAAAAGCAGTCTTTCCTCAAAGGACTTCAGACCCGGTCCTAAATCTGCCTTCACATATATCTGGTCGTCCCGGTAAAAGGGCTGCTGGAAGCTGACAGTTTTATTAAAAGCCATTTACAGACTGAAGCTAATCACCTCCCAGCGCCAACGGCACTCAGCTCTCTCCACGAAGGAGGCACTCCTTCCCAAGCAGCATCTCAGTAAGAATGCAGGGGGCAACCCCAGGACCTCTGGCCTCCCTGGAGACGGGTCCCCCCGGGCTCCCACTGCGCCCCCTGAGCCGGTTCACCGGAGGCCACCAGGTGCATTCGTCAGTGGAAGATTCAGTTCACAGCCCTGCCACCGCGCTCGCACACGGGTTAGCTCACTTGGGAAAAATGCACCCTTGGCTCACTCTGGCTAGAGAAACACTTCACTGTCATCAGCTTTCTCTCATTACCTGCCACCGTTACAAATTCTCACTTCCCTGCATAGTCGCTTAAATGGGGTCACCTAGGAAACCGGAGAAACAAACAATGAGGATGAGGGAGAGAGCTGTGGGAGGAGGCAGCGCTCATGGCCCTGGTCACGTACAGAGGTGAGGAACGGCTGAGAGGGCAGGTTAAGGCGGCAGCTTCGATGCCAGCCAAGTGGTGTCCTCCTCCCCAGGCAAGTTCATCAGTCCTGTGGCGGTCACCTGAGAGGCGCCTGGGCAGGTAGCAGGACGCCCCAGGAGGTTGACTGGGAACTAACAGTTCTGTTTCAAAATCCTTTGACTTCTAGAAGGTAAGCCTACCATGTTACCCGTGCACATTGAAGGCCTTTCAATACACCACCCCGCAGTTCATGAAAAATGGTGCCCACTCCACCTGGCTGCTCAGGTATGTGAGGCTCTTCCTTACATGCGGGGCATGAACGTGGCCCTTTGTTACCTAGAGATCCCATCTATTGATCCCCAATGCACAGACCCGTCTCCACTGTCCACCCAAAGGCACCCCACGCTCATGTCCAACCAGAACTCACTCTTTCTCTGCAAAACCCACTCTGGCCTCAGCCTTCCAACTTCAGGTCATAGAGCTCCTGTTTCCCTGGCGGCCCAATCCAGGAACCCCGGAATTCTCAACCCTGTTTCTCTTCCTCATGGCAAGGTCTATTCTGTCCCTTCCACCTTCAACATTGTTCTCCAACCGCTCCTCTCCTCTCTGTTCCCACCGTGACCACCTTCACTCAGGTCTTCAGTGACTGTCCAGACTCCCTGGTATTCCTGCCCCAGGTCTTCCCTCTCTAATCAATCATGTACGGTGGCACCGATGTGAGGATTTGGAAATGTAATCTGGCCATGTCACTTGCAGCTCTTAATGACTGCTGATGGACGGCCTAAACCAGTGATGACGAACCTATGACACGCGTGTCAGGGGTGACACGCGAACTCATTTTTTTGGTTGTTTTTCTTTGTTAAATGGCATTTAAATATATAAAATAAATATCAAAAATATGTCTTTGTTTTACTATGGTTGCAAAGATGAAAAAGTTTCTATATGTGACATGGCACCAGAGTTAAGTTAGGGTTTTTCAAAATGCTGACACGCCGAGCTCAAAAGGTTCGCCATCACTGGAAACAGTCAAGTGCACGTCCTTTGGCTAGGCATACAAGGTTCTTCTCACTTCTGCAGCCTCATCCCCCACCACACCCCCATTCACCCCTTAAGCTGGAGATGTCCTGACCACGGGCAGCTCCCTCAACGTGCCCAGCGAGCATGCTTCTCTCCCTCCTGCGGTGAAAGCTCTTCTTCAACATTGCCTCCTCTGAGAAGCCTTCCCTAATCCTGCTGACACACTCAGCGACATCGCGGTGCCTCTACTGCCCTTGGTCACACACATCCTGGCGCCAGCGTCCAGCTCACTGGGTTGTAGTGTGGCAGTCACTTCCTCTCCAGATCTCCTCCAGAGCAGGACTCTTGTCTACTACTTCCTGGACCCATAATCCCCTCCACAGCGCCCGGCACAGAGGACCCTCAGCAAACAGCTAGTGGCTGCTCACCTAATTGACTCAGTCGACAAATTCTCTTTTAGTCAGGGATTTGCATTTAAATGTTTATCCAACAGCTCCTACAGAGCTTGAGACAGGCCTTGCCGTTTCCTTCCTTTTCTCCCGGAAAACACTCCCAATAAAAGTAAGCTCAGCCATCTCCAGAGTGAGTCTGAGGAACAAGATAAGACACACACTCTTGGGTATTTTGCGGTTCAGATGCTAAGTTAAAGCAAGGGGCTGAGGCGAAAGCCTCTGAGTAAAGCAGGAGTCCCAGCCCCCTCGTCTGGATCTCCGGTGTAAAGACAGGGATCTGAGCCAGGTCCTTTTTGGTCTCAGCCTAGTGCCTCTGACTTGATACCCATCCAACGCACCAGGACATCTGACAGCTCCTCAACCCGCTCAATCCAGCCTGCCTTCAGGAGCCAGGCAGCGGGCGGCCCAGGTGGGAGCTGGACTATGAGAAGGCTGAGAGCATGGGTCCCAACTCCCCATCTAGTCCCACTGCATCTGGTCCTGGGTGTGAGTGACTTTAGAAGCTACGCCTGCTCCCCAGCTGAGAGTCTGGGCAACCGTCCACTAAACTTCCCCTCATTGCTTACATTGGAGTCGTTAAGTTAAAATATGGAGAGACAGTGAGGAGTACAACTTCGGCACCAGGCCGGTTCCTGTGGGGACCAAGTGTGATGCGTTCACATGGGTTGGCTGCTGTCCAACCAAGGCTGAGAAGATGTGGGCCAAGGACCAGGCCCTGCCACCGTGTCCTGCATGTCACGGTTCTTGTGCCCAGGTGTCCCATGGCGAGAGCAAAAGGAGTCTCCCTTCTCAAGGCCCTGAGCTGCGGGCAGCCCCTCCCCGGGTGCTCACCTGTCCGGGGTGGACAAGTACTTCTGCTTCTGGAATTTCTTCTCCAGGCCCATGAGCTGCAGCTCCGTGAAGATGGTGCGACTCCGGCGGGGTTTCTTCTGCCGCGGGGTGAGCTGCTCCGTCTCGGACTCGCTGCTGCCTAGCGCCTCGCCGCCCGGGGCCTCGGCAGGGGCAGCCTCGGCAGCGGGGTGGCGGGACAGCGTCTGGGCGATTCCCGGGGTGGCGGGGACCAGGTGAGAGATGACTGTGGGCTGTCGGGTGATCACGGAGAGGAGAGGATATGCCCGGAGGGAAGCGGGGCCTGGAAGACAAGCAGGGAGGCAGGTCACCCAGAGAGCCGGGCGGAAGGAGGCCAGGGCCCCTGGAGGACCACTTGCTGAGACCCTGCCTGGCGGGGGCTCCAGATGGGAAGGAGGGAGAAGAAGCAACTCAAGACCTGTAATGGCCGGGTGGGCAGGATGCGTGCAGATGTGCTCAGCCTGGGAGGGAGAACATTCGAGTCCCCCCACAGCCAGAAGCACGTTGGGTTTGAAGTGACTCTCCCCCACCCGCCCCCTCTTTTGAACCCCTAACTTAAGGTTTCAGAGACATGGGTCAGTAGAACTGGGCAGGTGAAAAAGTAGTCAGAAAATGCTAGAACCACATACTTGAGAAAGCCCACCTAGATCTGTAATAGACAAACTTCCCTGAGCCCCCTGTGGTTTCTATAGAAGTCCAGGGTCGTAACTCTGAATGCTTCCTGAGGAGCCTGTATACCCGGAATCCTAACATTTTTCAGACCTGGAAGGATGCTTCGAGGTTATTTCATTCAACTGCCTCATTTCAGAGACAAGGAAACGGTCCCCTTAAGGCTGAGCGACTTGCCTCGGATCACAGAGCTCAGAACCTGCGATTCAGGGGTCAAACCAAGTTCTTCTGGCTTTGAAGTCCAGTGCGGTTATCGCCACATCTTGAGTCGCATGGATGGACCTCGTTTAGAAGGGGGGTGCGGCAACGCGATTTTAATTCACACGAAAACGCAGGCACCTTATGACCAGCTGCCTACAGCACTGTGTTAGGGAGGATTCTGAGGCTGGGTCAGAGCTGGCTGAGGGGAGCACTGAGGTTGATTAGTGCTGTCTGCCCCGGGCACGCAGGAGGCGGATGGTGTGGTGGCAGACACTCTAGTTATGTGACACTCCACTTTAGGAATGTCAAGGCCAGAGCACTTTTCTGCCCCAAAATAGGTTATGTCTTTATTTTATTATTATTTTTTTAAAATATATCTTATTGATTTTTTACAGAGAGGAAGGGAGAGGGACAGAGAGTTAGAAACATCGATCAGCTGCCTCCTGCACACCCTCTATTGGGAATGTGCCTGCAACCAAGGTACATGCCCTTGACCAGAATCGAACCTGGGACCCTTCAGGCCGCAGGCCGACGCTCTACCCACTGAGCAACACCGGTCAGGGCATAGGTTATGTCATTAAAGTTCAAGTAACAATGCTCTTCCTCTTCACGATTCAATCGTATCGAGTTTTACATCTTTTAAATGTAAATCATTTTATTTCTCCAGGCCTCAGCTTTGTCCTTCAGATGGTGAGTAAAAGTAGATCATTCCAGAGTCCTTCGAACGCTAACACTCTGATGCCACAAAAGTGTCTGTCATCCAAGCCTGTCTTGAAGACTCAGGGGCTGCCCCCTGGGACTCAGTCCGGCCCTGACGGCTCCCAGGAGGGCAAGGCAAGTACCCGAGCCCACAGCACTCAACGCTGGTTCTGGGCTCAAACCCACGAACATCACGAAGCACCAGGTGCTACTTGTGTCCTCTCTCTCCTCCGGGCTGGGGTTTCCCTTCTTATTCACCCCTAGGCTTCTGTTTGGACCCGGCCATCGTTATCAGAACAGACGACTTCTCCTGTTCTTTGACTCTCCTTGTAGTCAAACCACAGCGTTGCTAAATAAATAAGCCCCAAGGGCCGTGACTCCCAGTAATTCTCCCGCCAACACGAACACTGAGGTTTTGGGTAGTCGATTTTTTTCAGAAAGAAAAAAGCATCTGGGAATATTTTGTAGCAGAAAATGAGGACATTGTGCATGGAGGGGAGGGGCAGGGAGCTTGCCCAGCCTGCACCCTCTCGCAATCCAGGACCGCTGGCTCCTAACAGCTCGCCTGCCTGCCTGATCACCCCTAACCACTCTGCCTGCCTGCCTGATCGCCCCTAACCACTCTGCCTGCCTGCCTGATGGCCCCTCACCACCTCTACACCTCGGCCCTCACCACCACAGCTTCATCGGGAAGGACGTCCGGAATGATGTCCAGAAGGTCGTTCGGCTGTCCGGTCTAATTAGCATATTATGCTTTCATTATTATAGATAGCTTGGGCCATAAAGCTTATGCTTAAACTTAATGAAAACCTTCATTTTAAAAGAAGAAGAAAAAAACCAAAAACTTCTGATGAATGACAGTGATTTAAGGCAATAGCCTTCACCGAAGTCTATAGTTTCAGGACTCCTGACCCAACAATCTGATGCAAATTGTGACAAAGCCGCACTGTCTCCCACCAGCTAGCTAGAGTACCTTCTGATGCCGGGAGGGCCACACACACAGGGCCACGTGATGCCACTCAATGTTTGGGGGTGTCAGGAGGACCACCGCTCACCGCTGTCCATAAGTCTAACTGCGGCGAGGCGCTGTGTGAGTGTGGGGTGTGTGGGGCCCGTCTCCAGGTTCAGAGGAACCAACAAGGCTGGAACAGGAGTCAGGGTGGGCATGTGTGTCTGCCACGCACTGAGTCTCCCTACAGGCAAACCAACGGGATGCAGAAAAGTGAGACGAAATAGACTCTAGCCAGCTGCTCGCTGTCTTTTCCCGTTTTCATACACGGCCTGATTTCCAACCAAACAGCACTGGCCCGGAGCTTTAATTCCACAAAGCACGTGCACACCCCCATTTGCTATTCGCACAAAAGCGCTGTGAGATAGTCCAGCCACGTATTGATATGTTGGCTACACATCAAATTCAGGTTTTAAAAATAGGAGAAAATGTATCCATGCATGCGGGGGTCCTTTGGTTTCTGGGGGGGCAGGTCATGTGTAACACTATGTACGAAGTTTGTCTTTCCCTTTTCCCGAGAATTCGCACTATGTGACCATGTTGACTGGAGACAGCTGCCTGCCGCCCTTGGACCCTGCGCATACGCTTGTGAAATTCAAGCACAGGATCGGCCCCTGAGAGGGAGTAATGACTGTGCTAAACCGAAGACACTGTTTAAGCAAACATCTTTCGGGCTGACAAAAGGCGTGCAAACGTGACCGCAATGAATGCATTCCCTAATCGTTTTGGTTTTTTTCTCCCACCAACGCCCCTCACCAGTGTTTTGCTGTAGGATGTCTCTCACATAACCGTGTGTATCCTGTACCTAGAAATAGTTCCCTGCCAAATGTTTGGCCTCTTTGAGAGTTTGTTTTGGATCAGAAAAACTGGAATACATTAGTGGTAGGCTGATGCCCAGGAACTTAAAACAACTCAGAAACATATAAAGAAGTCTCCCCTCACAGCATTCAACCCTGAATCATAGAGACAGACTTCGTCATTGTTCCTAGGTATGTACAAACATAGGTCTGTTCCGAATATAGTAGTATGTTTGCTGATCTATGGACACACATCATTACAAGGTGTTTATTTTGTAAAATATAAATTATCACTTTGTTGTTTTGTTTTTTTAATGCAGAGCCAATAATCCCCAAACCATATGATGACTAGTCCAGTGACTTAAAATGTTAAGATACAGTTCAGCTCACAAAGAAATGGAGTTGGGGCCCTAGCTGGTGTGCGGCTCGGTTGGTTGGGGGTCACCCCATGCATCGAAAGGTTGCCGGTTCGATCCCCAGGCGGGACACACGTAGGACCTCGGGTAGGCTCAACAGTGCGTTTTCCATTGCACCGATTCTGAAGCGGTGAGCTCATGGATGGGAACTCGCTCTGGCCATGCACAGGCACGTCTTCCTCACTAAGTGTCTCACCGCAGGGGCCCCGTCTACTCCTGCCACAGCTGCGCCTCAACGTTGGAGAGAATCCCGAGTTGCTGTTGCTCTTATACATCCCGCCTGCACTTCTCCTCCATCCCTCCACCATACCAGTCCCCAGTGGGCTCTCCACACCCACATGTCCGCTTGGCACAGGGAGGGCCACAGGTCCGAGGGCAGAAGCCTCTCCGAGCCGCCTGCCTGTCCGATTTATGGGGCAGGAACGCGTGATGCATATGTCCGCAGACGGCCTCAGACGGACACACAAGCGCACAAAGACACGGGTGTGGACTGAGTCAGCCGACCTGAAGAGGGACTCGGAGGAACAACTGGGTAGCTGGCTGCTTCCTGGGAAAAGTCATAGAACCACCGCACCCCAGTATTCCCAGGGGCTCCCACCCCTGCAAACTGGCTGGGAATTTTGAGTCGTGGAAAGAATAGGGCCTCTCCCAGGGACTTGTGGGGTGACCGTAAGCAGGCTTCTAAAACTTTCTTAGTTTCAATTCCTTCTTCTAAAAGCAGGGCTAATAATTGCAGGTAATTGCAAGGATTAAATGCGTCAACGTACGTCAAGTGCCCGTTGGGCATGTAATTGCTCTTCGTTCCCTTTTCTTTCCTCCTCTCACTTTTGTTGCCTGGCACTCTGTGCGTGTGTCAAATGAAAGTGGATCAACTGTCTTATCAAGAAAGCAGGCTCACTGCCGGCCGGTGTGGCTCAGCGGTTGCGCATTGACTTATGAATCAGGAGGTCACAGTTAGATTCCCGATCGGGGCACGTGCCTGGATTGGGGACTCCATCCCCAGTAGGAGGTGGGCAGGAGGCAGCTGATCACTGATTCTCTCTCATCATTGATGTTTCTCTCTATCTCTTCCTCTCTGAAATCAATAAAAAATATATATATTTAAAAACAGAAAGCAGACCTACCTCTGAACTATGCATGTGTATCTTCTTACCTGCTGTGCATTCGTGTGCCAAGCAAGATCCAGAAACACCAGAATCTGCCAGCTTTTCTTTGCCAAAGAGAGGACTTCAAATGCCCTTACAGTGATGTCCTGAGACTGACAGTGACAGGAGAGCTAAGGGGAATCAGCGGGAGGGCCAACCTGGCCAGAGGTCCCCCCAGAACAGTGGTTCTCAACCTGTGGGTCGCGATCCCTTTGGCGGTCGAACGGCCCTTTCACAGGGGTCGCCTAAGACCATACTGCATATCAGATATTTACATGATGATTCATAACAGGAGCAACATTACAGTGATGAAGTCGCAGCGAAAATAATTTTATGGTTGGGTCACA